TTTTTTTACTCAATTTTTCAAAAACATTATTATTTAATAGGTAATGTAAGTTCCATTTTGGGGCATCCAATGGTATAAAATATTGAAATTTTGTGTCACCGCCAACCACGATGGTACTGACGTGATGTGGACTCTCATTACACCAGCACCCCCTTCTTTAAAATATGGATACGCCACTTTGCTGAAAACAATAGTTAAGACAAATATATTTCCATTCGTTTTGTTGTTCATGTAAATGTCTGATAGGTTATTACTTTAAAACAATGCTAAAAATACAGTGTCAATATGAACATTTACACATGTAAGACTGAGCTGAGCAAATCCGAATTAACGTGGTTATGTGACGTTTGTCATGCACTGTATTATGCGATATAGAAATGGAAGACCATAACGTAATGGGAATGAACGGCTCTGGTATTGCCGACAGTACAATCAGTGTAAAATATAGGCTAGTGTGGATTTAAACAATGTCCTAATGGCAATGATCAAAATAAATGTAAATCAAATAAATATGCCTTTGTAGTTAGGCAGTTATATACTGTCTTTATGTCTAAACAAACTTTAATTTTAACACCGGGTCTCCATTTTAAAAGCTCCTAAGAGTTTCGTGGAGGTCATTTTCGTCGCTCTGTTTTTGAATATGTATGGTTGAGTTTACTCTGTCATGAATTGCAAAGAACATAAATAAAGAAATAAAATGAAAAATGTAAAAAATATGTCTATATGAGTACAACAACGAGATTATAGAATTTACTAATAGATCAATAACTTTCCAATGATAACCACATGAACTATATTACCCCACCAAATTTTAGAAACAATAGCAGTATTGTACAAATAAACGGCATCATACTTTTTATGTTAATCATCTATTTATTTTGGCGCACATTGATCATACAGTGCTCCTATCATTCCTATCATTATCAAAATCGAACGCACAATGAACAGATAATAATTATGCCTATACAAAAAAAAATTTATTAGATCATCACTCCAGCCCGCGTCAACAAAATTGGGAAATATTGATGGGGAAATTTTAAAAAATGTTTCTTTTTCTTGGCCGCATCATTTTTTCAACAGCATAAAAAACAATGTAATTTTGTGATTGGAAATACGTTTTCTTTAAAAAAAACAATAATAATTAAACCTGTTTTTATAACAATATTTACAATATTCTTGCCAAATAAAAAAGTCCCTCCCTCATCTATTAAAAGAAGCAGTTGTTCTGATTTTAAAAAAATAGTGATCTAATAATTTTTTCTGTGTCCTAAATTGGCTATAGTGGAACACAGTGATAAACTATAAATATCTTGATTAATATTTTTTAAAAAATCCTATTCTTTTTCATTGTGTCCAATGGTTGCCAAATTGGCTATAGTGGGACACAGTGATAAAGTACAACTGTCCTTTTTAATATTTTCTAAGTTAATCATTTTCTTTTTCATTGTGTTCAGTGACTGCTAAGAGCACATAGAAAAACATATTAGATTAGCACTTAAAAAGAAAACAAAAACAACTATAAACTATAAATATCTTGTTTAATATTTTCCTAGATAATCCTATTCTTTTTCATTGTGTCCATTGGTTGCCAAATTGGCTATAGTGGGACACAGTGATACCACAAATGCAAATGTGCGTGACGATATTTTATTGCTTTAGAAATGTGATTTAAAAATGTATATTGAATCACGCACTGAGTATTCAATATATTTTCACGACAGGTTGAGCAAAATACATATAGACCCCCTAACTGATTCTCCTGACGCAAGTCCAGGTATTAAATAACATTTACCATTCAATAATAGAACAGTCATCGACCTACTTGCAGTGAATTGAATCTAAAATGTATTCATGATGATCTGAAGTGTTTAAAAACGTACACAATAATAGTTTAACCAACATTAATACCACAAACACAAATGTGCGTGACGATATTTTATTGCTTTAGAAATGTGAGT